AGAGAGAGAGAGAGAGAGAGAGAGAGAGAGAGAGAGAGAGAGATTATGAGCGGCTGTAATAATTCCTCTGAATGCTTCCCCAGACATCTCTACAGATGCTAGTTCAGAGAAGGATGTGCCTGTAGCAGAGAGCTATGAGTCAGGAGTGAAGGGGCTGAGCACAGGGGAAAAACCGGACAAGTAGCCGGCTGAGTTAGAGACAGGAGAGGCACAGCTGCAGATGGGAAGCCCAGAGGCTTTGGGTTGGGAGGGCATCCAGCTGGTTGATGGAGATGAAGAAGAACTACCTCCTCCTCTAGATCAGAGAACATATAGGCCTGAGAGGAGGCAGGCATAAAGAAGGTCAGCCAGATTACTCAGGAGGAGGCAGCCTCACCCCTCTTGATGAACTGCACCAAGAAGCAGCTATTTAGCTCAGTAAGGGAAGCGAAATGATGCTGGGAACATCATGTCCATTTCTTTGCTGTGTGTTCTTGCCTTGCCTTTGTCTTTGCCCTGAGGGTTTGTCTTTGCCTTGCCTTTGTCTTGAGAACTAGTGTTGGCTTCTTGTAAGTAGCCTGTGGAACTCTTTGGGATTGAGCTGGTCCTGGCACAAGGGAATACTAATACAGGCTTGGAAGCCTTAATAAAGACTCCTAACACCTGCGGGGTGTGTGTGTGTGTGTGTGTGTTTGTGTGTGTGTGTGTGTTTGTGTGTGTGTTTGTGTGTGTGTGTGTGTTTGGAACATCACATTGTCAGCTAGTTCTAGGGTCAAGCATTTTACAGGGGAGGTTTTCACTCACCACCATGAAACATGGAACGTCCACAGAGCTGCTCCCAGCTGCTCCCAGCACCCAGGAGGGCATCATAAGCAATCATGGGGGCATCGTGGCCACTGCGCCCAGCCCACCCATCCAGGCTGAAGGTTTTGTAGATGACATCCCGCTCGGCAGGACCATAGGCAGGAGGGAATCGAACTGGGCCCCGGCCATCGATGAGACCCCGTTCTGAGAGGTACCTAAATAATGAAGTTACATTTATTTATTCTAGTTATACGGCTGCCCAGCTCGCAAATAGGGATTCTGGGAGGGTGGCATAGGACTAAAAAAACAAAGTAAACCAAAGGACAAAGCACAGCACAATATAGCATGAAGAGTAAACATAATCTGATCTTCCCCCAAAGTGCTTTTTTCAAAAGGCATCTGGACTTTGGGGTTTTCGGTTGTTGTTGTTTTTTTTGCCAGCAGAAGAAGCCCCTGGGCTGTAGGAAATTCCTTGACCTCTGCTACAGATTCTCCACAGTTCTAGAAATCTCCCTGGGAAAGGGGAGGTTTTGGAAGTCAACCCTTTTGCTCCCCTGAGTAGCCGGATGCTCTCAGATTGCTTCTTGAAGTAATTGGGTGAATCCCTGGGGTAGGGCAACCATGCAAGGTCACTGTGGAAGAACCAGCCGTTCAAAACGGACAATAAATGGTGCCACCATTTCTTAGACACTCGCTTTTCTGCACAATTTACCTTTCATGCTAAAAGAGGCTTCCTCTGGCTCCACTTGCCTTTTGAAAAAGCACTTTTGGACAACTATGACCTGGATAACTGAGAATCTCCATAGACATAAACTGAGCCTCAAATCATTCTCAGGTGGACTCTTTGGCTCAACTTTAACCTCGGGTCCAATACTTGGCAGGGGGGGGGGGAAACAGGTGGAAGGCTAACAGGTTCAGAGACCTCTGGAATTTGGAGGATGAATATGCTGCTCTAAAGAGCAGGTGTTTTTCAGACAGAGAAGGCACACTTCCTGACTCCCACTTAATGACTTTGTTTCCTAGAAGGACACATACTCACCCTGCTGGATCCCAGGGGGCAGATAGAGATAACTGCAGACAGGATTTAGAAGGGATTTGTAGTTGGTAACCAGCACCTTGAATTTTACCTGAAAGCTTATAGGAAGCTAGTGAAGCTTGTAGTGTTAAATGGGTTTAGTGTGATGCATTGGTAATTTCCCATGCCACCATATTCTGGTCTAATAGCTGTTCCTAGATGATCTTACTTATTTATATCCTGCCTTTATTATTTTTATAAATAACTCAAAGCAGTGAACACACAATATTTCACCTGCTTGGCTCAGGGAAAAGATATTAATGTGTTATTATCAGCACACCCTGACCCTTCGCTGGCACAAGCATAGGAGCAGAAGAAACATAAAAGTCCTTGCAAAAAACTTTGCAAACTAGGAACTATGATTTCTCCCTTCCTCTGTACCAGTTGAAATAGTCCCAAATTGGGAAAGTAGATCCTGAAAAAAATTGTTCTTCAAATTGTGTATGTGTATGTGATTATCTACTTACCTACCCATCATCTATCTATCTATCTATCTATCTATCTATCTATCTATCTATCTATCTATCTATCTATCTATCTATCTATCTANTTTGAAACCCATCACTGATACACATCTGCCAACTGAAAGCTGATCATTCTTGGCAAAAAAAATGATAATAAGGTTCTTTTTGATTAGTTTAATGAAGAATTTTCTCTTGCCTTCCCCTCAGTTATATACTTGCCACTTCCTTGGCAATGACTACATTGTAGCTGGTGGGAGTCGGAACAACTTGTGTCGACTCATTGACAGAAGAATTCTCATGGTAAGGTAGCTTTGCTAATCCTTGCAGGAAAGGGCTTAGCTTTGTAATAGGGCGGGTGTTTCACGGTGGCTTAGTGGCTAAGACGCTGAGCTTGTCGATCAGAAAGGTCGGCAGTTCAGCGGTTCGAATCCCTAGCGCCGCGTAATGAGTGAGTGATCTCCCATTAATTGTCCCAGCTTCTGCCAACCTAGTAGTTCGAAAGCATGTAAAAATGCAAGTAGAAAAACAGGAACCACTTGGTGGGAAGGTAACAGCATCCCGTGCGCCTTCAGTGTTTAGTCATGCCAGCCACATGACCACAGAGATGTCTTCAGACAGCGCTGGCTCTCCGGACTTGAAATGGAGATGAACACTGCCCCCTAGAGTCGTGAATGACTAGCAGATATGTGTGAATGGAACTTCTTTTTTTGTACCCTGTGTTTAGTCTCCAGGAACTTGAGGACCACACAACATGGACTTTGTGGTATCAACATCATGGAGTTTGTTGTATTGTTATTAACTAATATAGTTGTTTTGTATTGTATTTTAATTTATTTTTCTCTCTTTTTAAAATTGTGATAAAGGTTTACCAAACCATTGCAGACTGGAATGTAGGAAAACTTTTTATCCTATTGCTGTGTGGATAGATTGATGGTTTCTAACATTCCTAAATTGAAAAGATAAATTCCCCAGGCCAGGATAGGATAGGATCATGTTTGACTTAATAGGGTGTTCTGGAGTTTGTTAACGCTAATTGGTATCTGATTTGTCTCTTCGTGAACTCCAAACAACCTTTTTTCTCATTAACATCTTAAATTTTACACCCTTTGTTACCAGAACTCATTTAAATGGACATGGATGTAACATGTTTGACTACACGTAGTTGATTTACTGTGCAAAGGAGAGCTTTCATCCTGTCCAATCAGCTTTCCTCTTGCATTTTTTTTTTGATGTGTTAATTATAAAATGGAGTATAAGCTAAGGATCTGAATGGGAGGCTCCCCTTTAATCAGGATGTTCTGAATATATTGTAATTAAATGATATTCCTGTCTTGGCCTGTCTCATTGGAAAATATGCATGCCAAGGCAGCAACCTAAAAGGCTATATTTGGCCTTCAAACTCCAAAGAAAAGAAACATGTAGTGATAGCAGCTGATTTCTGCCCTCTTTCTTTTGTTCAGTAGAGGAGAGCTTGTCAATCAAAGAAAATGGCAGGGGCTAATATACATGTGAATGTATGTGTGTGTGTGTANAATATAAATTGAAAGATACAAGCAACATGGTTATAGTCATAAGTGGTTAGAGATAGATACTAGGAAGGAAGAGAAGAATAATAGTAATGCAGTCTTAGTAAATTATTTGACAATATTGTGGGAATTACAGTGGTTGTTTAGCAGAGTAATGGTATATGGGAGGCGGGGGAACTGTCTTTTTGTCTAGTAGTTCTGGTATTCAGTTCCCTATAGCGTCATTTGGAGGGTAGAAGTTGAAACAATTTATGTCCAGGATATGAGGAAGTCTGTAGATATTTTCGCAGCCCTCTTTTTGACTTGTGCAGGTATACAGTATACATTATGCAGTATTTTTTTCTGTCATTCTAATTATCCATTGAAGTTGAATTTCCACCTTAAACCTCTCCAACCCTGTAATCTGACACCATTACCTTTCTTCCACAAGACTGTTCATTTTGCCCCAGCTGTGGTGCAAGACCAAGTTCTCTGAATTTGGGGCTCTCGTAGCCCACTTCCTCTTCAGAGGGAACTGTCCTCTTATCCTTCTCCTGGCTTTTGGACTTCAGCAGCCCTTGTAGTTCTTGTAATGGGAATAGTGGCTTAATGGTTTTCCATGCTGGCCTTATTTTCCTGGAAAAAGGAGGATGGATAAATGGTCACTGCCCAATCAATTTTTTTCTTCCTCTGAAAAACAAACCAGACCAGACTGCTGTTTTATGATTGCATGCCCAACAATGTGAAATCACAGCTGCCAGCTCTTTAGCTGGTTTTTGGCTGCTTACACATCAAGTTCTTCCCAAGAACTTAGGGCATTGCAATGTATCAACATAATCAGTGGTGGGTTGCCAATTTTTTAACTACTGGTTCGGGCGCACTCGTGCATGTGTGTGTGTAATGTTTCTGCACATGTGCAGAAGCATTCAGATGAGTGGGTGGAGCTCTCCCGTCACCGCTTCTACCGATTTGCCTGATCCAGCCTGAACCAGGACCAACCACCTCTGAACATAGTATATGGTATATACTATAGTAGTGGCTCCAAGCAGTATGGCCTTTTGCAATTGACAGATGGAAAATTTGCCAATGCGCAGATTTTCTAAGGGCCATCCAAGATTTTTGAATATGGCATATCTATAAACCACTGGGATCACCACGACTGTTTCATACCACAATCTTTCAATTGGAGTATGGGTAGACTTGGTATTTTCTGCTGCTGGTTCTCAGTCCTGCAGTAGCAAGGGGGCAGAAGATATTTGCAAGAAAACTCTTTTCCAGGATTGGGGAGTAAAAGTGAGAATGCCTCATTTCAACAGCCTTGGTTTCTTCTGTCTGTTGCCCCATCATGTAGTCTTGTCCACTTATTTAGATTGTGTATCAGTGTGATTTTTAAGGGTACACATCAGGGGTGGGTTCCTGCAAGTTCNCTGGCTATCCCGTCAGGCCTTGGGATAAGATTCTAATTTGCCCCACCCGAATGTTGAATGAAAGTTGTGTTTTATTGTTTTATTTTTATTTATGCACTGTCTTGTGTTTTTGTTTTGCACCCCCCTTCCCATGTATTGTAAGCTGCCCTGAGTCCCCTCAGGGAAAAGGGCGGCCTATAAATCATAATAAACTACAAACTACAAACTACAAGCTGGCAGGCAAGGTGAGCAAGCAGTGACCGGGTGGGCAGGGTGACCAAGCAGTGACCAGGTGGGTGGGGTGACTGACTGGCAACTGGGCATGGGGTATGGTCAAGCAGAATTTGCTACCAGTTTGGCGATCCAGGCCAAATTTCCCCTACCGGCTCACCAAATTGAGTGCAAACCAGCTGAATACTACCTCTGATTCATTGGATTTAAATATCACACTAAGATTGGTTAGAGATTTAAAACCTGTCATTTTGCTTTGTCAGGCATGATTTATTGCTTAGCATTATAGGTGAATAGGTTTGCAATAAGGATGAATATATGTAGCTCGGGCGAAGGATGAGGGCAAAGGTTCATTCTCCGAGCTTGTGGGTTGGTTTCTGAATGTTTCACTTGAGGCAGCCCACACCTGACCCATCACAAGACCTTCCCCTGACATGACCCTCACCTGATGCGACCTCCCCATCACAAGACCTACTGATCACACCGGAAGCCCGTATAATAAACAGAAGAACACTGACACTGTCATCCCTTAAATTCCGCTGCAGATGTTACCTAGCCTGGTAATGAAATGTTCAGAAACCAACCCACAAAACGTTTCTCTGACAAACCATAGGTTTAAAATCTGGAAATACAATCTAGAAACCAGATAATGAAATACAAATACATATTTTTTTTGTCTCTACCCTAGATTTGGGATGCTGAATCATGTGGCAAGATAATGGACATTCCAGAAGATTTTCGGGGTCACTCACAGGTTGAAGAACTATTTCTCATTATTCCCAAAACTCAGACGAAGCCAACATTTCTCAATGCCTCCAGAAGTGTTGGGTCATTTCGCATAAACTCTAACCAGCAAGGAGAAGAATGAAATTAACCCATCATACATTTTTCAATAGGGCTCCTTTCTGAAAATAGCTACCAAACCACCAAATTTATAAGACGCATGAAACCCCTTCTCTTATCTTCTCACTGCAAAATCCACTTGGATTTAATATTTAGAATAGAATACAATTCTTTATTGGCCAAGTGTTATTGGACACACAAGGAATTTGTCTTTGGTGCATATGCTCTCAGTGTACATAAGGAGAGTAAGATACATTAATCAAGAGTAAAAGAAACAGCACTTAGCGATAGTCATAGGTTACTAATAAGCTATCAAATCGTACTAGTACACACACAAAGCTATGTAAGTTGAAAGATACAAGCAGCATGGTTATAGTCATAAGTGGGAAGAGATAGACACTAGGAAGGAAGTGAAGAATAAGAGATAGATAGATAGATAGATAGATAGATAGATAGNACCTACCTACCTACCTACCTACCTACCTATCTACCAACCACATTTCTGAATCACATTTGCCCTCTTCTATAGCTCCCAGTTGTAATAAAAAACCCTGCATTCCTTGTTCTGTCTCCTGCCCCAACTACTTACCATTCCCACTTCTCTTGGAAATAGGGCCAAGCTGCTACATTGGCTTCAGTCTCAATCCCAGCAGCCTGGATGTATTCTAGGGCAAGGGGCAGAGTCTTCAGCAACCCACATCCCCAGAGCTCAAGGGGCAGTCCCTGGACAGCATACGCAGTGAAGAGAGCCGAAGCCAGAGATCCCAGATAACCTAAACAGAGGCAGTAGAGAAAGGACGTGTCTTTCAGGACTCTGTAGTCCACCTCCACCTCTTTTTTTTCTTTTTGACTGAATTACTGACATTTAACCCAAGCTTCCAAAGTTAAGGCCTGTATAACAACCTTGTTCAATGACCAGCCAAACGTGCAATGCAAAAATAAAATAAAATGGGTGAGATAAAATATGAACATAGCAAGAGTCTCTGTAATAAAAGGGTAACATAGGGTACTATGATCGATTATGCGCTATCAAATTGTTTTCCACTTCTAGGGACCACATAGATAAGAGCATGTGAATGAGAGTTGGCTTTGACAATGGGTGTGTTGTGAGGCTTCACAAAAATTTCTAGCACCAAAAGAGTAAGGAGAGAAAAGGAAACAGACAACATAGCTAAGCTCATCCCCAAAGGATTTTCATAGGACAAGAAATTTCATAAAGACTACACTATGTGTACTGCAAGTGTAAACAGTGCATCTAAAATATTACAATCTATGAAGTAAAATAAAAGGCAAAGGTTCCCCTCGCACATATGTGCTAGTCATTCCCGACTCTAGGGAGCGATGCCCATCTCTGTTTCAAAGTCAAGGAGCCAGCGCTGTCCAAAGACGTCTCCATGGTCATGTGGCCGGCATGACTAAACTCCACAGGCGCATGGAACGCTGTTACCTTCCTACCAAAGGTGTTCCCTATTTTTCTACTTGCATTTTTTACGTGCTTTCGAACTGCTAGGTGTGCAGAAGCTGGGACAAGTAACGGGAGCTCACTCTGTTACATGGCACTAGGGATTTGAACCACTGAACTGCCGACCTCTGATCGACAAGCTCAGCCTCTTAGCCACTGAGCCACCGTGTTCCCACTATGAACACATATTGCCTAAAACAAGAAAACTAAGACGTAAAGCTGAATTGATAATTCTGATCTGTAACTATAATAAAAACTGATTGATTGAAAGTTGAATTGATGAATAAAACAGAAGCATTTATTCCTGAGACCAAATTTGCCTTATTTTCATTGTGGCAATAGAGTTTGGCTACTGCACAAGTGAAGAAGGGTTTAGAATCTCTAAAAGATGATTCACATAGAAATTGTCTGGTTTTTCCTAGGATTTTACATATTAGGAATACACTCAAACAGATTTTTTCCAATAATAATTTGGGGGGAAATGGTTTGGCCCTATTTATTTTAAAAAATCCCATTCAGATTACATGAAGGAAGATAGATAGGAAACGTATGTATTATACAGTATTTGTGATGTCATCAACGCAATAACAATCACTCGTGTTTAGCACTCGTGTTTAGCAACTCAGAAAACTTCAGCACAACAACAGGTCCTTCATCTACACCTCAAAAAAGCCAACTGTACTGCTTCAGGCTCTACCACCACATCCTGTTACATGGAAAGAAGCCTGCTCAATCTGTGTTACTACTGCAGGCCCAACCCTGGGACAATTTTTCTGTGTTGTAGAAAATCTGCCTAATATAACCTTATTTTGTTTTGTTTTTACTTTTCTTAAGCCTTGAGCTCAGTCAGTCATGTAACAATGGCCCCGTATATCCCTTTACCTGTGGGGTGGTGATGCGTCATTCTTCCACTTTCTATGCTGACTTTGATCAAGGTGTTGAGATCAGAAGGCTGAGGATACCTGGAAGAGATATTGGTTGAGAATCAGGATGATCTTGTGTTCACCTTTGATCATTCTGCTATCGCTACTTTGCACAAATTTTCTTCTCCAACATGTATTACCTCAGCCCAATGCACATGGATCTCATAGCTGCACCACAACCAGTTGCGTAAGAGTTGAAGGGAATGTGATATCCACCTGGCTCTCCTGGACGTAGCTGAGATGTTCCTAGAAGCAGATTGGGGGGGGACTGATATTTTTATTGGCCAAATGACTTTGGATTTTCAGTTAGACATCCTTTGTCCTGGATATTGTACTCGTTTACAAAACAATAAAACTTTTGATCTAAAATGGAAGATTTGTGTATAGCTAAATAAACTTGACTATTTTGAAACTATAGAAAATACTTGTAGCTCAGGTTTTAGATTTTGGCAGTGGTTTGCTCTCCAATATTGTTTCAATTTAGTTTCTGAACATTTCATTAGACTAGGTAACATCAGCAGTAGGATTGTCTTGTCCTGTTCTCCTTAGCTTATAAATGTCTTGTGTGCCAGTGTGGTCAATTGATCGCATGATTGGTTGTTTGTTTGGACCTACATTTAAATTCTGAGAAGCTGATTGGTTCTCTTATTGATTAGTCATTTGAATGGTCTGGTTTCTTATGTATTCATATAAGCATATTGATCTAGATTAGGGGTGTAAAACTTAATTGCAATGCAAATCAGATTGTGATAATAAACTTAGAGAGAATTTGGGAAGAATTCCATGGATGAGAATCCTCAAGGGGAAAACAACTCAAGAAGCTTCTCAGAATTTAAATGTAGGTCCA